TTAAGTCTGTTGCCGAAAAGGCATATCGACTGTGGCCTCGGTTTCGAACGCCTTGTGTCAGTTATTCAAGGAAAGCATTCAAATTATGACACGGATTTGTTCCTGCCGATTTTTGACCGTATTGCTCAGGCGAGAATCATTATTTGCTGTTTGATATTTTCTTCTTATTCGCACTTAGTTTTAGGAAACGAATAGCAGGCCATACACTGGCAGAGTCGGCGCCGAGGACGAAGGTCAGATTGACATGGCTTATCGGGTAGTGGCTGATCATGTGCGAACGTTGACGGTCGCAGTAGCAGATGGCGGACGACCGGACAGTACAGGCCGAGGGTAGGCATTTTATTCTGCAAATAAGTTTAAACACGTGAAGCATGATGTTTCTCATTTTTCACGTATCGTGCTAGTACCGTAATCTAATGATGGCCACAGTCCACTCAGTCGAAACGTATCATCGTTATGGTCACATTTTTATCGCTTGCTTCGCTAGCCACTTAATCACAGCAAAAGGTCACTTTAAGATTACTCTCTTTGAGTACTCTTGATATGCGCCGTGTACTACGCATGCTCAGGATTAGACTTTCGCTTTAAATCTGTGTAATTAAACATAATCATGTAAATTTTTTTTCCCTGCATTATTTCCGAGTTATTTCCCAGAATGGAAATAAGGTAGTTGAATTCTTGAGTTTGAGGCAGCGAGCTCCTCGCTGCTTTCACTGGTTTGACGGCTTTCAGTCTGCTGTTCGCACTGAGATAGCCCTCAATGTATTCTGATTTGCCTTTGCTGATACGAAGGCCCTTCTTCTCAAGAGCTGTTCTCTATGCCTCGGTTTTTGATTTTACAGCTTCTTTGCTTTCGCTGCATAACAATGTCATATGCATAAAGCATGCATTATGGGGCGGCTTCCTGTAGATCCTCAGTTATCGCGTCTGTCGTCATCGAGAACAGAAATGGGCTCACTGCGGATCCTTGTTGGACTCTACCCGAACTCTTCTCTTTCGCTATATGTACTTCGAACTATTTTTGTCACTCTTTCATACATATCTTTGGTAAGTCTGACATTTTTCTGGCACAAGCTTCTTTCTCATGCTCCACGAGATTGCTTCCCTCGGGATTCGGTCAAAGGCTCTCTCCAGGTCTAGGAACAGCATGTAAATGTCTTGTCTGCCTTCTCTCTATGTTTCGAGAACTAATCTTAAAGCACAGGTGGCTTCCATGGTTGATCAACCTGGTATAAATCCAAATTGGTTCGCGATTATGTCGACCTTCTTCCTCAGTCATTTATCCAGCACCCTCTCATATAGCTTCACGGTGTGAATAAGCAGTATAATTCCACGGTACTTTTTACAGGCGAGAAAATTCTATTTCATTTTGTACATTGGCATCAAAGCACTTTGACTCAATAGTTCTAGTATTTTCTCACGGTTATAGTTTTGTTCAATAGCGTGCAGAGCCAAACCACACCTTCTTAGCCAGAGCCTTCCATGCTTCTAAGGGAAATCCATCCGGACCAAGGGCCTTTTTATTTTTCATTCTGCTCAAGGCTTGTTCCACTTCCACCGTTGAGATCTTTTCGACCAGGCTTTGGTTTTGTAGGATCTCTTCCGCGGCTTTTCTGGGATATTCTTCATTTAGTAGTCTTTGAAAGTGCCTTCTGAATATTGTATACATATATCCACTCCCGTACTTGGTCCACTTTCCTGATGAAGTCTTCCTTCGTCATATTTTTCGTAAGTTCCATTTAGAGTGCTTCTTTCAGCTTCCCTTCGAGTTTTCAATACTGTATCCTCGGGGCTGTTGCTTTGCCCACCGTCTGAATGGGCTGTTTCAGAGAGAGAGGTCTACCACCCCCAGTAGTTACTGGCGCTGATGTTGGCTTATGACAGTTTCTCCAGGAATAACCTTGTAATCTCTGATGTTTTTAAGTTAGTCCTTTCGGTGCAGGAAGTGGTCAGTCTGACTTTTCTTTTGCCCGCCCTTGTAAACTGGAGGTGGCTTTCTCTTTTCTGGAAGAACCTGTTTATCAGAGCCTGATCATATGCAGATACCATCGCTAAGATATTCTCTGCTTCTTTACTTAATATACCATGTTCATGTCTGCCTTGCATCCTATCGTAGACCCTTCGATGTTTCCCGATGCGCCCGTTAAGGTAACTTCCGATTACCACTTTTTCGTTTCACGGTATGTTTTGCGGTGCTGGCTCTTCTGGAATGTCGACTTTTCGGTTTCATTCTGGTCAGTTTGAAGGGCGTAGGCACTTATTATACTTCAAGGCACTTTAAAATATCATTTTCCAACGTCAGCTTAACGCCCATGATTCTGTCGTTAATTCGATTGACTTCGAATACCCTGTTTTTGGTCACTTCATTGAATACTACTTCAACCCCATTTCTTCTTCTTGATGTTCTACATTAAATTAGTTTATGACCCAGCTCAATCCGTTTCGTCTTCGCTCCTTTCCATTTCGTCGCCTAAATGCAAGCGATAACTTTTCTTACCTGAAGAACTTCCGCTAGCTCCATACCCGTCGTTGTTCCAACGTTGCAAGTTTCCATTCGCATTTTTTCGGTTCGTTTTCAGCATATCAGTCTCTCCCTTTGCGATTGCCGTAGTCTCAAGAACTGGTTCTCTTGTTCATTTCTCAGAACCACCGGGAATTCCTTCTGAGCGTCGCTTGAGAAGAACACCCTAGGATTCTTTCTAGAGGTATATTGACTCATATTTGACTTCGACATTGGTTTTCAAGGCCGGCTGCCTGCTCAACTTCCTTCAAACCGTCTTTCTCAACTGGGCTTGGAACCGGCTGCGACTCGTTGGGGTTAGCAGCTTTCTTCTTTGATAGCAGCAAGTACTCGCCGTATCACCGCGCTGTCGCTGGTTCTTGCGGTATTTTCTAAAGCCAGCTTTACCAGGAGTTGGCTCACCGCGCCTCGTAGCACCGTCGTCACGTTGTCCGCAATTGTTTATTCGTAAAGTTCTCCGCTTATTCCGTAGCTAATTCTCTTATCTAAAGGTTTTCCCACTATCCGCAACCCGTGGACGCGTTCAGCGGCATTTGACCTTGTCTCGACACCACTGTCGAACCGAATCCTGTAAATCTGCTATTCAGTAAAAGTATGTTTTGTGCAGTTGCGTCGTATACCAGCCGTCCCTCCGGTGTCTCAAGGCTTAATCGATGTAGAATAAAGTCAGCTACTGTTAACAATCAGCCATTACGCTGTGGTGACTACTGGATATCCCGCGCTTTAGGCCATTAGCTGGGTTTTGGCTGCAGACCAGTTTATCGAAACTATTAGCCGTCTGTGCGTATCTGACAGTTGAAACACCTCCGTGTTTCTCTGTCTATGTGGCGACTTGTTTTGTGGGAGAGGCGTAGATTTTCAATGCTTCCGGTGTCATTCTATACAAACGTTCCCCTTTCTATCAACAAGTTTATCCCTCCAATTGCAGGTTATTTTCAGCGTCATGCAAATCATATGTGCAAAGGCTTCGTTAAATGAAGTCTATATTGATATGCGCTTAAATATCTTAGGATCTTCACTCGATATCGTTGTTTGCAGCGATAGTTGTAACTCTTTCAGTTGCTACCACGATTTCTGCGACCTCTAGCACCGGATGATTTCCTGCGATACTTATGAAGCTATCCGCAGTTCTTTAACCCTCCACCGTGGAATCTTTATAACAGTGTGTTTTACAAACACTTTTACACATCCACTGTTCCCCCTGTTTTCAGATATGAGTAACACATTTTCAACTATTATATATTTTCTTTAGCTACGAATTTTCATGGGCAAACCTTCCGCTGGGTAAAGCGCATAATGGGAGCAAAAGGTGAGAAAATGGTTACAGAAACAGTCAGTTCCTAACTTCGTAAGAAAGGAAACGAAGCTTTGTAGTCCTTTCATGCTAGTATGCTTTACACACCCGTGATCAGCAACCCGTTTTGTAAAGGAACTTATATTGTGGCACAAATCTTCGTTTGATGCTGTAGTCTAGGCTGGGCTGCTTGACTCATTGGACGTGGAAAGCAGTTAGATTTCAATGCTTCTGGTTAGTGTTTGCTACACTTTCTGCCCTGTCAATATCGGATATGATTGCAAGTCTAGTTTCGTCGTAGTCACTTCGCCCCTTAATCCCTGACACTGTTCAATCATAATTTTGTTGCCAATCTTTCTACCTTTTCCAACATGAGTTGGACACACCTTGCTGTGAATCATGATGTTGATGCGCCGTTTGTCATTCCGTTGTAGCGCATGACTGAAGAGTGAAAGTGTAATTTTATTTTGTCGGTCGGAAAGTTGATGTTAATCCTTGCTCGATGTATTGCACTTGTGTATCTTCGAGTAATTCTGCATTTGTGATTTTATCAATTAGTCTGTAGCCGAATATTCCCCCGCCAGTAGGAGTGTTAAAGCTCGTTTCGCTGTCGACTATTTACTGATTTCTTTTTTAGTTTATCTGTAGCCATATGTCAATTCATGGGTAGTTAACTTTTTCTTTCGCGCGAAATGATACTCATAAACTCACCAATCTCTGAGCAAATGGTAGGCAGTAGATCCATTGTGACGGTCAGATTAATGCCAGGTAAAAATATATTATTTTTTAGTTTTCTTCTCGAATCAGTTCTATGAAAATATCATCATGGCGTCAGGGGGCGAATATGCATGATGGGATCTTATCGTAGGCTCACTGAAAATGGACGCAATTTTGGTACATTGTCACTTTCCCTTTATATACGTCCTGCCCAACCTCTTTTTCCTGTTTTTTCCAACTCCTTAGAATATAAGATGAATTCGAGCCACACCGATTCATATTATACGCTATAATAATTTAGCGTATTTAATGGATGCCAGCGACGGTTCGAAGCCTTAAAATAATTTCTATGATCTAAGGAGCATTCGAAACCTGAAACAGTGTTTCTTTTTCCAACATACAGTAATAGTTACAGATAATGCCGCAGTCGATAAAATAAGTGATCGAAGTGTAAAATTTAATTTTAATGCATTTTAATGAATTGCTATGAGTAGATTAAAGAAATCATGGAAATTACGGCAAAGATGAAAAAAATGAGGCAGAAAGATAAATGAATATAAAGCAAGATGGAGAGTTAATGCGGAGCAAGATTCTGACCAGATGAAGGTTATTTGAAATCTGTTTCACCATTAATTCAGCACTTTCGAAGGAAAATATTCAGGATTAATAAGCCATCGGCTCATAGTATTGCGCCTTGACTTTCACTCGTTACGTAGCTGTTGTGCTGAGGAGTTTCCTTTCTGAAATCGTTACATATGTCGAAGTCGTATACAGATAAATATAAGATGAATGAAATGCTACACTTCGAATGAACCGTTCTCTCAGACAGATTGGCTTTAAAAATATGATGGATATACAACATTCTGACCTTCATAGCCCCAGCAGTTAATCGTTTCAGGTTGATTCGTTGCTATCGCGATGGTGATAGCGATAAAACAAAATATAGTTTTGGGTCTTTTGCATTGACAGTCGTCCCACGATGTCGAAAGTCAGCCAAAACTAATTTCAACATGCCAATTTCAAGTCTGTTTGCTTTGACCGTCTTGTCATTACTTTCCATATTTCATGTAACAAATCTCTGCTTCAGATATGTTCTTCGGCGAATTCTGCGGCGAGGCGTGAGGTACGCGATCGAGAAGCTGAATGCAAAACCTGGATTTTTCGCCTCTCTCGTACCTACCGTTGTCGAAGTATTGGTAAGTGTGATGATTAATTAAAGGTTTTTGCAGCTCTGCGATTTTCACGCCTATCATCGATGGAATTCTAATTAATTTGAGATCTATATGTCATCTTAATCGTTTTAGTGACCAATTGACGACACAAGTGATCCTGATTGAGAATGGTTCCTACAGAAATGACTCTTGATCAGAAGGATGTATCGTTGTGACGTTTCACGGACCTATTCCTAATCAGTTTCACTGACCTTGTCAGAATCGAGCATTGAAGGGTATTAATCGACTGTTCTAAGTTTAGCAAAATTTTCTGATCTGTTGTCAGACTTGAGATATAAGGAACTTTAAAATAACACCTCTTTGGTTTTCGATTGATGATTTAACGGCTACTAGATCACAGGTTACTAGTATGAAAATCCTTTGTTCGTTTCCTGACTCGTTTTTACACCATACACAAGCGGCATCCTCAGTGTCAAGTATTCAAATAAACCTGCACGATTCTACGACAAAAGCTAGCACTTGTCATGCATTGTTTCATTGTTCCTTATGAACAGGTTGACCAATGACATTCCAACTGTCACCCAATTTAATGGAGCTTTTACGTTCATTTCACAGTCAGTTTGTAAGCCAGAATGCGGAAGGACTGAGAGACTGTTTAAAGCCTGTTGAAAGTTCATCAGAAGGTTTACTCTTTATATAAGAGCCAGACGTTTCGGATCGAGGTGGATTCATGTTATAAAGGGTTACTTGAAACAACTGAATGAAGAAACTTTAAAAGGGGATACTGTGAACACCTAGTCTTCACGAGCCTGGAAAAATAAAGCATTAAGAACACCGCAGCTGAAATGGCTGCCTTACATTTTTAACAGAGTAGTTCATCAATGAAATCATCAAAACGGAGCAGAAGAAACGACAGAATCAAGTGGAGCCTGTAAAAGGCCAACGGCCTAATATTCGTCATCCGCTACATATCTGGTCTCATAATTTTATGTGTGAGGTTGCTCTTGTCAGTTAAGCAGACGTCACTCTTCGTAACCAACTTGTTGATGTAAAAGAAGTATGAAAACCGAACTTGGATTTATATTATCGCTGTGGATATGAAGAACCTCGACATCGGGATTCGGAAATAAAATACGCCACCATTAATGCCTCAAAGATAGAACAGTTCCGATTTAACGAAGCTTGAACAAGGTACAAAACGGCGTGGGAGAAAATAGACAAAGGTTCAGAGGGAAATTAAAAGTAAATGCGAAAGAAACCTGCAGTGAATGAACACTGGTGAAATTTGCGCATATCATTGACTGGAATTACATAAAAAGGGGATAGAGTGAAAGAAACTGTCAGAAGCAGCAGATTGAAGACAGGCTCTCCACGCAAGCTTGCGAATGTCTGAACAAGAACAATGGCTAGGACTTATCATCACCCTGGAAGAAGATAACAAAGATGTTATTCAGGAGGACCAAGACTGAATTACATATAAATCTAACCGCTTGAACTAAAGTAACGCCAATAATTTGTTGATCATATTTACACCTTAAAGTCATTCCGCAGCTTGCAGCGTGCTGGCTGTTTTTTTTACACCTGTTGTTACATAATGTCCCCTGAAGATTAATCCAACTCGATCTGGAATGTCGGGATTTTGTTTAATAAATTTTATATACGGAGTAAACCATTTGAAAATTTTGTTGATGTAAAATGATTCTTTGATCAAAGCGTGTAATTTTAATTACTCCATGCCATCGGGTGATATTCGTCGAACTAAGTGAGTGTTTGATGTAAAATGCATACTAAGCGGTACCCAGATGTTCATTCTGTCCATCGCTGAAGTGCCACCGATGTTCCACAACTTGTTTACACCGAAGTTGAACAAGACGGTAGAGAGTCAGAGTCGGAATTGAAATGGCCTGGGACCTAACCCTGGTTACTTAATGGTTTTTATTTGTTTTTATTCACCTCGCATAGTCAGGTTAGGATATCCTTCTTCACGTTGTCGGGTTGATTTTCCAAAGAGCGACGGTATAACCTCTTGCCCTCGTAGAAATTTGTTGCTCTGACGCGGATTTTCGCTCGCAACCAGCTTCACAAATTCGAAACAAGATATCCGGCATGCCAGCGTTAAGCACTAGAAAAGATGAATTACGTGTTGCAAACTGGAACTTATCTGGCGATGGTAGATTTGACGATGTCGGTTATATGGCCCGCCGGTACAAACCTGACGTACTGGCGGCCGTAGAAGCTCACTTAAGAAGGGGACGCTTGGATAGATGGTCTTTTGGTGGTCAGGCTGAGTAGATTGCACTGTGTCAGTGTGGGATTTCCCCAAGAACATGCCGGACGGTGTTTTTTCTAGAGAAGCTGTGGGGTAGGATCGAATTCGAAAATCTTTGTTCTAAAGGTATCTATGCCTATTCAAAAACTTCGGGATTTAAAAACGAGATGACTACAGCGAGATTATCCTTTGATTTTGTCTTTAGCTAAGTTTTGGCTGTAAGGAATCCTTCTCAGTAATTCCTCTGCAGTCACTGGTTTTATGTTAGGTAGTTTTCCATGTTCTGAATCAGTTTACAGTCGCAGAGTTTTACGTCACCTAATGCTCTTAAATTAATTTAGGACCGAGGGATTGAGAATTGATGTACTTCTTAGAGTGTCAGGGTTTTCAATATGCTACCAATTTAAGCGGTTCTGAATCCCATTATTCTTGGGCAGCTCATCCAAGAAGCTGATTTCGTCTTTATCGAAGTAAATTGGTTATTTTTACACATATTACCTTTGCTGATTTAGTCAGCTCTTAGGTCGGTCAAGGTAAACTGCTACTGAAAAACGTACGCATATGACAGCATGACCATTGGTCTCCTATGCTCCAGCATGACCACACCAGAACATTATGTTCTTCCTGTTATTGAGAGGTCAGCGGTATGCTTCCCACTTTTGACTGGTTGCACCGAAGTACCATGGGATATATTCCTTGCTCAAGAGAATCAGCATTTAGTTTAAGAAGATTAACTTATCGTCTGCGGTTTGACATGTGCATCTCTGCAGTACAAATGCTTTAGTGTATCATTCATTCTTTTTTGAATTTATCTTCTTTCTCTATAGTGAATGTAGTCATTCATTGTCATATTCTTTAATGGAACTTTTACTATTGATGGAGTTCATAGAAAATAATCAACTTAAGCATCGCGAAAATTCGATCCACAAATTTTAGATAACCTGTTTTTTTTTAATTATGAGGAAAGAAAGGTGCAATCATTATTTTTCGATTGTGAAAAATCTTTCGATGTGGTTATTAGGAATAATTTACACAACGTGATTACCGTAGTTCTTGTTTATGCGATGAATATATCGTTAATATAGTGATTTAATTAAGGGACCAACGTTTCCAGAACTGACGAGGGATCCGGACATGATCATGAATATTATTAACGACGAGGAAACGCATTTCCTGAAGACCTTAGCACGAGGTCGACGTTTATTGGACCAAGTTATGAAAAAAATCGGCGGTCAACAGCGCGTGATTCCAGGTAGCTAATAGATATTTATTGGCTGACAGTATCCATCGTGTTATTTACCATATTTCACTTGATATTTTTTATGATGGCCTCAGCTTTGACTTCCCTAAGGTGGTCCTATCCAAGTGTTTTTTTAATCAGAAGCTCGGTGCAACAGTTTTTCATCATGTTCATTTCGAGAATAATAAATTTGGCAACGGACCCCGCAGTTTTTTTACTCAGATTTGCGACCAGAGTTGTTTCCTAATCGAATTGGCTTTGAAGTAAAAATAAAAAATTGTGCCATTCATCTACTGTATTGTCTTCTAGAGAACGCTGGGTATGAGCATCGTAATCAGTCTATAGCATCATCTATACAACAGCATTTCGCACTGTCGTTCAAACGTTCCGTTTACAAGATCAGTTTACTGCATCATTTACGCATGTACGTCTACCTCTAGAAATTTCATGCTCCCTTACACTGTGCACTGTCTCCGTATCGTAGATTTCAAACTTGCCTTTTTTTAAAGTTAGGATAGGTTAATTTTTGGGACATGTGATCAAAGCTGGCCAACTCTGTCTCTCCCGGTGTGTCTGTCTTACCTGTATTTAGTTTTGTTTCGTTGTTATTATATACTGAAAGGCGACATTCTTCGTGTTGAAGCTTAAGCAATAGAATGTTATTGCTGTTGTTGAGAAAGTGAAGAAAACTTTTTCAACTATTTGCACCTTTACTAAAATTGTCATTAGCATGAACTGAGTAGAACTTTCATCGCAGTATTTATTTACTGATTCTTTTCAAAGTCCACCATTATGCAAAAATTTAAAATTATCGCAGCCAAGACGAGGATTGAGATGAAGAGAAATTCGAATCAAAAATGTACATGAGTAGCAGAAAGGGAAGTGAAAAAGCGAAATCTGTCAAATGTGACTAATGACTAATATGGTCGTCATTTCCACAATCGTCGATGAATATTATTTTCGTCTGAAAGAGCCAAAATCTCTATTTGATGGTCTGTTGTTGTGTTGTCATCGTCACCCGAGGCTGATAGAGCTTGAGCCATCATAGTAACCCTGACTTATGACGTCTGAACCTTAGAATTGTATTTCAAATTGATGTTACGTAATGTTCATTGTTGCGGCGTAGAATACATTCCTCGTCGCCAGTAAGTCTACCTCCATGAAGTGTTACCTTGTTTAGTTTTGTCCTCTAATTTGTCTGTGACCAGTGCGCGATTCCCGAACGAGGAAAACTTTTAATATATTTCAATTCCCTTTCTGAGTTGTTTTACCAATCCTAGCCAGGCTTTGGTCTTCGAGAGTTCACTCGATAGTTTTCTTCTGCCGAAGTCGTCATTACCTGCTCGACCACTGCTCACTGTTACCATCGCACTTTGACGGTACTTCGTACACAGCACTGTTGGAAGCTGTCAAGCCTAGCACTTCTGGACGGCAGATATTTCGAAACATGACAGAATAGGACAGCTTTCGAAATGGTGGTTTTCGTACCCGTTCTTGATGTTCGATTGTTCATTCAGCTTCCCATAATTCGCTGATGCCAATCCAATGCGCCGATTAACTTCAGAATTGATGTCGCCATCGTTAGACAACATTCAGCACTTCTCCACTTCATCCATTGTAATACCATCCTCTAGTATCCTAGGGTTGATGGTCGCAGCCGACGCCGTCATCGTCTTCGTCTTCGTGGCATTGTCTTATAACCCTACTTCCATAGTAGTATCGCACTCGCTTTCTCTGATTTTCAGGAGACGACCTTGGAAGTAGCTTAGCAGCACGGTGTCATCGGCGTAATCCAGTAGGAATAAGCCCGATGGATATCTCGAACTGCGTCGCTGACTGGCGGATAATTGCTCATTGTAATTTGGGAATTGAAAAAAATAGTTTAGATAGCCTTTGTCACCTGATCACTCATACAGCACTCTTATTGTACAGATGTAACATCTTGCTGCCATCAGCTTTCTCATTTTACAGTTTAAATCGTATTAACTCCTTTGATTATATCGAACTGTTGGGCAGAAAATCCATTCAGATCTAGAAATATAATTTATTTTCTTGTAAAGTACGTGCTATAGCAAGATCAGTAGTGCTATAAGTGAAAACAATTTTGGTTAAAGTGACTTTCGTCAGTAATCAGTCATCAAGTGTCTTGAAAGGTATTTCGAGACATCGTCCAATAATTGAGCAACTAAACATTTTTTATGCATAGAATACTCGTAGGCGAGGCAATGATGGCTAGGATTTCCCTCCTGTCCCCGCGTTTGTTTACTGATACCATCGATTACATTCTATATTGATGATACAACTGATGAAAGTGTCATCACTGTTTTACCTCATTGTATGCTAACCATCTGATACCCTTATTATCAAAAATGTTAATTTGATGAATCATCATTAATGTATTGGCTTAATTCATTGTAGCGCCTGTCAGCAGAATCGACATTCTCTAAGTGTTAAAATTAATTAATTAATTAATCTAAAATAATCAGACTTCTAATATACTTTAATTTGCTGCCTCGAAATCTCGTTTCTTTTATAAGTCTTTATTCCTTGTTACATGGATATAGGTTGTTCTTGATTGTGGCTGTTCAAAATGTTATTTACGACTCTTTAATCGTTCTCTGCTAATTTCTAATGTTTTGTTTTCAATCTCAGTAATTTTAAAGTATTGGTTATATTTATTGCGTTCGGTCCAAATTCAGCTATATACCGTTTTTAATTTTTTCTTCATGGGCATTTGGTTGGACCGGGGTTACTCAGTAAATAGAGCGTCACATACAGAACTTTGTGGTCTTCCATTCGAGCCCCGCTCGAGTCACGCCTTTCTTCCGAGGTTGAAGAGTGTGGTCGATTTAGTGGGGAGGAAACAGGTGAGTACACAGTATGCTGATCACAGTTGCTATACACTCTGTCTTTGATAAAGTACTCGTGGTTGATGGCATGGATAGGGAGGTCAACTTTTACCATTAATTTTAAGAAAGCAAGGGCGCCATTAGCGGGCGTATTCATTATAAAGGGTGTAAGGTTGACCGACATCCTAGTGGTTAAAAATTTTTCAATTTTTCTTTCGTTTTTCTTTGGTTTGAATACAGTTCTTGTTGCTGTCATCGTCATCGCTGTTCGCGCAGGCGACGTTGGTTGGCGACTATACGACACCTTTGGCTTTCCAATCGATCTTACTCAACTTATTGCGGAAGAGAACGGTTTTTCGGTCGATCTGCAAAGCTATGAAGCGGCAAAACTCTGTGCTCAAGTATGGTTTTGCTTCTACGTTGTTTCGTTGTTTTGATGTATTTTTTCACTTTTAGCGCAATTCAGCTGCCAAACTGGCAGAGTACGGTGGAAGCGGTGTCGACATTGATGTCGTTGCTGTGTGCGAACTTCAGCACCGCGGTGTTGAACGAACGGACGAATCGTGGAAGTACAATTATAAGCTTAAAGATCCGTTCAGCGATGACTATGGTAGGTGCATCCTTTTGATCGGGTCTCGCACAAAGTCGTCTTAGCGATAGTCTTGGAGCAATTTTCTGAAAACGGTTTCGTTCATGGTTGTGAATAGGCAACTTTTATTTTTTTATACATGGAACGATATTTAACAGTATTAAACACTGGAGTAAGACGATTACTCACTGTTGGTTATTCGTTCTGTATTTTGAATGTTCCGGTTTCGATGTAGAAACTTCTTTTATTAAATGCTAGTTTCCTTGAGCAAAGAACCGTACCTCTTTGAAACAAGCTGAAAAACTATTGTCATTTCATTGACCTTCTATCAGGAGGTTCAGCGTTGTTATTGTGTGGAGGTAGCAGAGCGTGCGAGACGAAGTGCCATGTTATCTGAAGCTTGTACTTTACGGCTGCAATTTTTTGATTTACATTTTTAATATCAGCAGAAGGTATTGACTTTAAATTTAAACTTATTTAATTTGAATAAATCATCTTCATGATCAGATTTCTCTTTACTTTTTACGGCAATATCATGATGTACCTGAATCGATTGTACTGAATTTTGTGGTATCAAAATTTATACGTTTTGTTTAGTACTCTTTTTTAGGTAGTGTTATGCCACTACGGTTAGTACGACGTACATATCTTCTCATATGTGGGCACAGTGAAATTAGCTGCACGTAGTGGGGAGGGGGCAATATAGTATAATGGGATATTAGTTTTCTCTGCACTTTTGGGTTCCAACCGCCTACGTGGCGTAAATTTTCTCTTATTTCCTTCTAACTTCCTTGAACAAGGATTATCATTACTCAGAAGCAGCGGTCTTTGACCTGCGAATAATAGGGACATCATGGTGCGTTGGTGTTGTCATGCCAAAGCGTGCGATGCAAACGGCCATGTTGTCTCTGCACTTTCCAGCTGCAGTTCTTGACCCACCTGACAGCTGGCAAAAAAATTAACACAGTGTAATACTAAATTTAGATAATATTTATATATTAAGTTAATTAATT